AACTAGCACATTGGTAGACAGACACTGCTCTCAAAATGACACACACATAAAAAAGCATTGCTGGTCAATCCTGTGACACTCTGCCCTACACAGCACATCAATAGTACCTCAGTATGAAAGAGATGTCAGTGAGACTTGGGGAAAAAAACACATACACGATATTCTTAACCCCCACAGAAAATCTTTTGGCAAACAAACTCTCTGACTCTCTGACCGAGACCGTTGGCGAAGAGTCAGGGCAGCCTGCTACGTCTGTACGGGAACAAAATGTAAGAGGAGAGAGGAAAAGAGAAGGAGAGAGGAGAGTGAACGGAGAGCACGAATACAGAGTTGAAACAAAACACAGTGTGTGACTGTGAACGGACAGCACTAACACCAAAGTGGATGAAGGTCTGAGTCAGAGGGTGACACTCTGATGTGTCACTGTGAGACAAGATAGATAAAAGAAAAATAAACTTTCACAAAAGAGTGAAAAAAGAACTTTAACGCCATGACAAAATGGAGCAAACAGGGAGATGACATCAGATGGATAAGAAAGGAGAATAAACAAAAACATTACATAAAAAAGAACAGCAGCCACACTGTTCCAGCTACAGAAAAGTCAAAGCTGATGTAAAGAAGAGAGTAAAATAGCCAATGGGATTAGACTTTTTAGGTTGATAGCTTGTGACAAGAAACAACAAGACAGAGAACAAACACTGAAGGCCCATACAACCCAAATAGCTGTGGGCGGAGGCAACAAGGAATAGTAACAATAGGGAAGGGCTATATACTGTATTGAGATGGATGGAAAGAAAATGAATGTATCAGGTCCAGAAGGTGAAACGTTGATGATAGAAAACTGTTGTGGTAAAGGTGTTTGGAAGAGAGCTCAGCCTCCAGGAATTATGTTTTTGCTGAGTTCTTCCTGGAGTCAAACAAAGCTCTGAAGCTCACTGAGTTACTGTCATAACAAATCATATCAAACCTTTTGCCGGTCCTCTTGTGTTCTGTTTCTAACATGTGTTGGTTAGGAGCAAGAGGATGTGTATATATGAAGGCATGCTTCCAGATTACACTTATAGATGCCTCCATGTGGTGTTAGCGTCTCTTGTGTTTTTGTTATCATGACGCACATCCTTTGTAGAATTACACATCCGGCATGATATGTCTGCATGTAACTGTGTTTGTGTGTGTTTGGGAGGACTACCCACGTACAGAGACGTCTCCCCAGAACTTGGCCACGTCGTAGTCGTTGGCGCGGAGAAACTCGTTGAACCAGCTGATGGACCTCTTACTGCCTTTGTCCACTGTCTCGTCTCGCTCGAAGTTCTCGTTGTGTTTGTTGACTGAGTAGTTAGTCAGATGCATGTAGAGCTGGCTCTGTGGAGAGAAACTGGAGTTAGGAGGGCCTTGATGCATTATCAACGTATGCATGTTTACACCTGGCAGTAAGGATTTCTAGATTTATTTGATAACTACATGAGATGTCTCTTTCATAGGAACACAGATCTGGCTTTAAGGGGCTGCTGACACTGGTACAGTACTACCAACATTTAAATAACGAAACAAAACAGGTTGTGTCCTTTTAATTGAATCAAAAAGACAATTTGACCAGATGTAGAGTTACTGGTCTAGGTGTACTTTTAAAACAAGTAAACGTCTTGCTATAAGCTGTGACAACAGTAATAACTGAATGTCATAGCAACAGCATGCAGAGAGAACATGCATCTATTTGCACCAGATGGCATGTTTTGTTTGTTGTTGCATACAAATCATTCTTGTCTTCTTTCCACTGAATTCCTTTATTTACTGGGCTGAAGAAGAAATGAAGCTCTCGTTCACTTGCTTCCTCCTCCTGTTTATCCAATGTAACCACATTATAATACTAATAGCTGCAAATATCTCCATTGAAGCAAGTGCAATTGTATATGCAATGAAATGTTATTTTAATACATGGGGTATATGTTATACTCAAATGGCTGTTATGTCTTTAGTAAAAGTATACCTTTGTCAGTGATAATCATCACATGAAACTATGTCCTCAAGGGTATTCATGCATTATTCCCTGAGTGCACATACACAAATTGTAAAGTAAAGCATTTTCTCCTTAGTAATATGTGTAGACAAAAATAATGGAAAAAGAAAAAACATCACAAATGTGTCCCTAGGAAATTACTAAAGAGGGTAAGACATGTAGTAAGAGAAGTGAAGAACGGCTGACTGTGTTATATGGGAATTATCAATGCTCTGTTCTAACGCTGGTTCTTACACTCCTATGGGATTGACAGATAATGAGCGCAACAGCAGAACAAGCTTATAATCATAGAGCCCTGAAATCTCAAGCACTCAGTGATAAGATAAGTCAGAGCCATAGTGCCCCGCAGTTCAAACAGAGCCTGGCTAAAATGTGCCAATGTGCATCCCTCTCTTTACACACTATCCTTCACAGTTGAAGACAATACCTCCTTGTCCTTAGCCTACAAGGTAATAACGCCGTGACCGGAGGCCACTCCAGCCCATGATGGCTGTCTAGGAGCCACTCTCTGTGGGATTGAACATGCATCTCCATGGCACGCCTCACTCCATCATGTGTCACAGACAGGGTAAGACAATACGCATTTGTGTCACGGGAGGGGGTCCATATGTCGATGTGAGCGTGTGTTCATATTGTAGATAAGCATCACGCTTGATAGGGAGCTGTGTGTGTGTGCTTTTACATCCCATCATCAGCAACAAACTGTGCTTCAGCAGGTGCAGAACCTCAAGGCAAATATGAACGGGTTGATATAACTGGAGACATCTGGCATGTGGACATTTGCGCTCAGCTGTGTGCATACAGTATGCCTGCTTGCCCAATCTGTGTGTGTGCGTGTGTGTGTGCCTGGGTGTGTGAACACAACAGTTGTTGGCCCTGTTGACTGTGTATATGAGTACATGCATGTTTGTGTGATCATACGGAGATTACACTGTGTTTCCTAACCTCTGTCCCCCAGTGTGTTTGTGAGTCGAATTTGATTTCGTTGAGTTGCACAAGCCCATGGCTCCGACGAGCATGGCAAATACATTTTTCTGCAAATGTACTTCTACTTAAGGATGCTTCGGATGTCATTTTGTTTTATATTCAAAGCTTTTTTCGATGTATTCAAATCAAGCTTCAAATGTGAGTCGTCATTTTTTATGATTTCATCACTCTGTAAAAATGGAAACATCTTTTGTTAATGTGGTTATATAAATGTTATGTATGCTGGTGCTTGATGGCTCTGTGCATACAGTTGCATGCCTTTCTTTGTGGACATTCTTGATTAAGAATTTAAATGTCAACAGCATGAATGAATCTTTGAGGCCTTGAATTACTCTTTACAGCTCTACTTCTACTGTCTGTCTCTTTATGAATGGCCACACACTAAGTACTGTATACATGAACAGTTGTACTTATTCCTACAATTCATCAAATGGGACTGCACAAAAAGCAATCAGATAAACGTTTGTCCTGTTATTAGTCTGTTACGATATGTGTCTATGATCATATGTGCTGCTTCTGTGAGGCACTTTCTATTTTCATTTTTGAATAATTCTACACAAACAATTAGTCTTTTTTAGTAGTACTACGTCTGTGACTCACCAGGTTGGCCTCACTGGGTGCATGGTACTTCTCTGTGCCCATGCGAACCAGGCCGTCGTTGTAGAGGAAAATGCGGAGTGGGTCGCAGGAAGTGACGAGGACGTAGATGCGCAGGTCAAACTTGTAGCCCTCCATCAGGAAGGGCTTGTCCAGGTACTCCTGAACGATGAAGTGCTCGTGGGCTGGCAGCTTCTCACAGTTACGGATAAGTGAGATCCTGGATGGACGGAAACTTTATTAATCCTCAGGGGGGAAATTGGGGTGTCGTCAGCAGCATAATAAAATATGGCAAAGTAAGATGAAAAATATAATTGAAAAAATGATAGATGGCAGCATAGAAAGGACCATGAACATGATTGATGACATTGGCAATGTCTTATATACATGTTGAAGCAAAAACTATGCCAAACAGTATACAGATTTGATGGGGTCCCGCACAATCTTTCATGTGTTTAATCATCTGGAAAAGTTGGGGCTATTTAACTCTGGTGCCTTATCTGCCAATAATGGTGAAGCTTTCAGTCATCACAATCCAAGATGACCTTTTAGAACAATGGACAGTAAGTATCAGTATGAGCAATAGATGCAATCAGAAAGAGAATGTCCTTGCTGTGCATAGAATGACTCTTGCAATAACAATGAAGAGGTTTAGCCCTTATGAGTGACAGGGTCAGAGCCATTGTGCCCTGATGGTATTGACGTGACCTTGCCCTGCTACAGAAACGTTGCTGAAAACATATGTTAATGAGTTCGCTCAGCACGCCTCAGGTCTAGTTTGAGCAGGACAAGCTGTTTGGCTCTGAGGTACTTTGAGCATTCCAAACTTTTGTTATTCTGTTCATTACCTGGCTAAATAAAACAGCTGAAAAATAAATTCACAAAAAACAGACAGGTACTACACAAATGCTGGTTTGTCTGAGAAATACCCAGTGAGCATCTGGAGAACATTGTGATTTCCAGAAGCCAAACTCTGCCCTCTCTGAATGGCACAGTGCATCAAATGCTTTGGCCGGGTCTTTCAGCTGTGTGCAGGTTAATAGGAGCAGACATTGCACTCCGGTTCAACCTCCACTCTAATTATTTTGCTTTGGTCTCATGTCAATGGCACTCAGGCATTATAGTACGCAGGCCATTGCTAGCTGGACTCAAGAATGAGTTGTGTTAGTTTGTATGCAGCGATGTGGCTGTGCACGCAAGGGTGAGGGGCAATATTTTAAAAACGTTGTGAACGTAAGAGCGTATGTCTGTTCACATGTGTGTGGGAGTATGCATATGTGCAGCGAGGGTGAGGGGCCGTTTCTAAACAATCTCCCACTATGCAGAGGCATTGCATCTGACCTGTATCACCATCATTCATAGTTAAGGCAGACTTGGCCTAAATTAGTTACATACTCTGCCTGGAAGGCTACATTATACCCATGCAAGCAGGCTCACCACACACACACACACACACACACACACACACACACACACACACACACACACACACACACACACACACACACACACACACACACACACACACACATACACAATATTTAGCCAAGATGTAAAGAGTTGATTGTTCAAAAAGTACACTTTGAGGTAGTAAGATATTGTGGCACCAAGCCCCCGCCCGGAGGGAGGGCAAACATTGTAATGCTCTTTAATTACAGCCAGCACATACAGTATCCTGGGAGCAGTGCAGTCTATGAGGTTGTTATTTAACATTAGAATTCACCCACTCAGTGGACGCAAAAACACTGGAGCATTGTTGATGAGCTTCTAAGTGTGAATCCAGATCAGGTATTGCCTTTCAGGTTATTGTTTTTGTTCAGCAGTTCCCTTCAGAGGTTTGATACAATTGTCCCAGTTGCTGTAGTGTGATGTTGTTGTTACTCTCAGGTTTATCAAACATTCCTCATCACGATTCAGCACTCCACTTTAATGCTCTCGTAATATAACGGATCATTTCATAGGCCTGCTTATATCTTGGAACAGAAAATAACAGGGGCCAGTTGATGGTACATTGACCAACAATGTGAGGGCCCTCCTAATAGTGAGGCAGCGAGTTGAGTGATGAGGACATGGTTAACGGTGTTAGTTAGTCAAGGAGGAGTAGCTGAGGAGAAGACGACATGATTGATGAGCTGTGGTGTCAGATAATCACAGCCCACTCTCCCCTGCCTATTTCATTTGGCACCGGAGGGGATCTCGCCTTTTTATGCCCTGCACGCGCTTTTATTTTGTTTCCCTTATAACAAGCTGAGCTTCAGACACAAACAATAACTTCATTTAGTTGGCCGACGGAGAAATAAATTACAGGGGGGGGATATAACTTAATTTCCTGCCTCGTCACACCATGCGAAAAAAATTCAGAAAAATCTAATCTTGTGAGCCGCCCGCCGTTGAGTGGTCGAACTAAATTCATCATCTTTCATATTCTTAATATATTGCTATGATTCAGCCTTTGTTGCCTTTTATTCTTTAATAAATAAGGGCTTAGTGCAGCATGGAGTTATAAGTAATGCTCACATTATACCAGAAAGGACAAATTCAAAGAGAATTCGAGGGAGAGGTGAAGCACAGTAAGCTATTTGTACTTCAATATCCCCACCTATTGGTGCCAGTGATATATGCAATCCAAGGTTCTTTCTTTACACATGCACTACAGGGATCACATTTTTAAAAGAATAAGAAATTAAAGCAAATACTTGCTTCATAATGTTTTGAAATCTGGGAAATTTCAAAATAGTCTGAAGTGTTTTTAAGAGAACTATGTGCGACATACAAACACAAAACAAATCCTTTTCAGAGGAAGTTATACTGTAACAAATCCTAATATTGAGTTTGGCCTGTCTTGTACTTAATTGTATGATACTGAATTATTTTCAAAGCCAACCACACTTCAAACTTTGAACCAGAAAACACTTGGCATTTTCCACTTTATTTAAGTTGTACTGTAGCAAATCCTAATATTGAATTTGGCCTGTCTTATACTTAATTTTGTGATACTGAATTATTTGCTAAACCAACCACACTTCAAACTTTGAACCAGAAAACACTTTATTTTAGTCATGTCTGTGCAGGCTTGACCTCCACACAGGTCAGATCACAGCTCAGTGGAATTCTGTTTTGGGTTTCAAATGAGTTGGCTATGGCTCATACATAGAATATTAGAAAGAGTTAATGTGTTCATTTTAGAAACGATTTAGGATACTTGTTTAAGTGACCACTTCTGTTCTTCAGCAATTGTTTTAGTCTATTATACAGATCAGAAGTCTGAGCAGAGGCCCACATGTCCTGAGAGATTTCTTCTTTCTTCTTGTTTTTTTGTAATAAATGACCAAACCAGCTCAACAGGCTTTTCTCTAAGCAAAGGAACTTAAAATAACAACCCCCCCATGCCCACCCAGGCTAAGGATGATCAGTTTTGTTGACACTTTGTCAAAGGGCGGCCAATTCAACTCTTGGTAAACTTTGTTTTGTAATGTTTTTGTTTCCACCCATATTGACACACATTTGGACAAAAGCTTCACATCAGTTGGGTTGAGTGATTGAACACTTGAGTTGAACACTAAATTGGTAAATAGTCCATATCAAGACATCACCATGTCACCATGCCTTTTTACTGATTTTCTAAATACTTCACGATGACCACAGTCAGAATAGTGAAAACATGCCATAGAGATGTGACATCACAACCTGAAATAACCTCTCACCTCATGGGGCTTCAAGCATGAAATATGCATTCATGTACCACAGCCTGCTCATCTTTTGATAAAGAGATGCTATTGTGAGACAGAGTACCCTGCAGCAGCCATGGCCATTGGTAAATGTTCTAGTCTGAGTGGTCCTTGCTGATGATGCCTCATAAAGGAATCCAATAATCACATGCAGAAACCTTTAGGGGAGGAACCTCACTGCCAAAAACAGTGTGTGTCTGTGTGTGTGTGTGTGTGTGTGTGTGTGTGTGTGTGTGTGTGTGTGTGTGTGTGTGTGTGTGTGTTCTACTTGCAACGATAACCTCTGATTTATGGAGTGTGACCATCGATGACAATGAGGGCAATGAGATTCACCACACCCTCTCATCTCATCTACTCAACCTGATCCCAGCCATAATGCTATTTCCATTGACACCCACATCAGGGTCACACACCTCTTATTGCCTTGTTTTGTTGTGCTTGTCCTCTATTTGCTCTAGTGCTAATTTCCTCCCCTCAGTATGTTGTTTAGTTCCTGCATCAGTCTCTCTCGTTCTCATTCATGCCTCGGCTTTCGTGACCTACCCGTGACCCATGGCTCCGTTGGCGGGTTTGACGATGAAGGTCTTCTGCTTGTGTTTCCTGCGTAGCTCCTTGACATAATTCTGGAACTGAGTGTACTCTGCGGGGAAGATCCAGGTTTTGGGTATGAAGCTGTACTCTTGAGACTGGCACTTGATCATTCTGAAGAAGAAAAGAAAGGGGTGTGTGTGGGAGTAAAGCATCATTTTAAACCATCTGCAGTCTTGCACTTATTTTGAACGATAACGTGCATTTTGCATTTTTTATTCACAGTAAAGATTCATTTTATGCTTTTATAGTAGTTACTTTTACTCGTTCGGCTTGTAATGATGTAATGTAATGACGCTACTAGTACACAGTTGTGACTTATTAGAGTGCTAGCTGGCTAGAAATCGAGCTTTGACATTCTTTTGTTTTTGCACATCTGAACCAAAGGACTCTCATTTGAAAACTTACTTGGACATGTTTCTTGCTAGGCAGTCTTTCCGGCAGATTTCGCCCATGCCAGGGAAATGGTTAATTCTCTGCAGAGGGACAGGCAGACATAATAATGTTGTTAGGGCCATTACGCCACTCAATTCCACCCCCACCCCTTCATAAAAATGAGCACATTAAAGGCAGCAACCTGAAGTGAGCTTACAATGTTCTGACATTTATGCCCAATTACGGACTCAAAACAAAAAGGTGACGCTGAGACCTTTCTCAACCCTTATTTAGTTTACCGTGTTTTTTTTATACTTTAAAGGTTGGGGAGGGAAGAGGCGAGAAAAAAAAAACACGATCAATCTCAACTCCGAGGGGCCGAGGTAATTGGTTCTGCATCGCAAGCTCCTGCAGTGACAGTTGAATGAATTGCTTTGAATGCACCGTAAGGGGGGTGGGGGGGTAAAGGAAAAACTCTGGGTTTTCTGTATTCTTTGACCAAATGAGCCTGAACAGGGGCGTTAATTAGGCTCGTATGAACTGAAACATGACAGCAAACTCTCACAGTACATCACTAAATGGGGGGAAAAAAGGAAAGAATCAAAAGAGGGAGAGAGATAGAGAAGCAGAGGGAGAAAAAAACAAGAACGCAGAGTGTAAAAGGATCCTGTGATTATTATCCAAACGAGACAGACGTAATTAGGGATTCGGAAGAGATTGCACAATTATGCCAATGCCGCGAGACGACGTGGCTTGTGAGGGGAAATCAAAAACAATTGTTGAGGGACTTCTGCTTTTCTTCTGAGAAATGATCACATGAAACAGCACAGCAGCGCGAGAGAGCAAGTGAAAACAATTGACAGCAAATCACCAGCTCTATGGTAAAACATTAGCCACATTGCTACACGTTAAGCTGTTACAGTATTTGTAATATTCAATCTACTTTGCTGAACCCTGGCTGCCCCTGTCCTAACAAGCCATACTCCTTCCTGTCTGTGATTTAATCGATCATTAGTGCCCGGTCTAATCAAATAAGCGATCGGGAAGATGGATGGCTAACGCTCGGAGCTAAGGGGGAGCGGCGGCGGCAAGTTCAGTCAGCAGGACAGGGGGGTCAAACAGAGGTAAGATCACTTTCAGACGAGTACACAGAACTCAGAGCTAGCCTTGTTGTTTAGGCCCGTCTTGTCATCATCACTAGTGACATGTGAAACCTGCCTCCCTCCACCCCCTGCTGCTCACAACTTGTCAGTCGACCTGTCAATCTTCCTATCTGTCTCTGTGTATGCTCTGTTGTTCCCTCTCCCTCTGTCCACCTCTCTTCTCTATCTACTGTCTGCCTCTTACCTCCCAGGGTCTAAGGGAAAGCACATGGACACATCCAGAGTCTTACGTCCAGCTTCACCTATTTCATTTCTTTCCATTCTATTTTATTTCATTCTACTATCACTATTTTAAACCTAATCTTCTTTTCCCATCTCCATCTGTCCCAAATGTCTCTATACGCTGTCCCCTTTCATCTGGTCTAATCTTCTTTTTCATTATATTTTCCTTTACCTATTTTCTTATTTCTACAAAAAAAACATACATTATAGAAGTAAAAATCCTGTGATACAGATGTTATGATTTTTCTCTCATTGCAGTTTGAAATTTGACAATAACTTAATTAATTGTTTTGTTACGGTTCAGATTTCATAACATTTGAGTGTACATTTCTTAAAGGCTTGGGAGAAAGGCATCACTCTGATAAGTGGATTGTGCTTTCTATAAGAATGTCAATAACTGCTGTGTGAAGAATCTGCAGAAAATGGTGTCATGTTTGTCCCTCTCTAACCAAATGAGTGTTTTTTAAAGAAGGGATTTGGTTTTCTTTAAAGCAAAAGAGGTTTAAATAATATTCTCTAAGCACGGAAGGGTTGCGGTAGCTGTCATGTTTGTTTTGTTTTATTATGACCTTTCTCTTTGGTCTACTGTTTCATTTCCTCTACATCTTTTCCTGTAAGGTTAAATCCTTCTTCACCTTACCAGTGCTATACAAATTAGAGGCATCTGATTTTGTTTTGAAAATCTGGTTAAGAAAACATATAATATATTTTACATTCATCCAGCTGATCAGCATCATGGTCTTCGGCTGCTACTGTACTGTAAAGGTTAAGATCCAGTTTTTCTTCCTGTTCAGTGCGGCAATTGGAACTGACACCCTTATTCTCACTCGTTATATCTTAGCTCAAGACTACGATGCTCCCGGACAATGTGTGCTTACTTGACATGCCGTGTACCTGATAGTTCCTGAGCTCAGCGATTCTCTCATGCTGCACGGCCGAGTCATTCCAGATGAGGTTGGCAGTCTCATCATCTTCCCGGGCCTTGATGTAGTCCACCTCGTTGATTACTATACGAACTGGGGAAAAACATTCACATTAGATCGTATTACAATATTCAAATTAACTACGCAGTCATTTCAAAATATGTTTTACCCATGACCAGAAAGTCCTCAAAGACAAAGAGGCATAATATTCTTGGGGAAAAAATGAGAAATATTGGGGGTTCAATTTGTAAATGTACATTAAAAAGAACTCAGGAAATGTTTGTTTTTTGTCAAGAACCAACATCGCTTGAATTTGCATGGTTAGATAAACCATATCTCACCACAGACACCACCGCTTGCTTTGTATTATGTCTGAAGTTGATGTCCTAATCAAATTATACTTTGTTGATTGATTTAGCAATAAGGAAACGGAGTTTTCAGCCCAGAATTAGCACATTATAAGCATCCAAACTTTGAAGAGACATTGTCGTGATTTGGACCAATTCACAAGAAAACAACATACTGTAGTTTGGATGACGGGATTTATTTTGTGGATCAGCATTTACAATGCAATGAACAGATTCAAGAATATAGTCATGTTCACATGTCATCACTGTTGCACCTTCTCACTAACTTATCACAATTGTATAACTCTAATTTCAGAAAAGTATATATATTCATTTTCTCTGAATATTACCCCCCTCCACTGGTTCCTTAGACCTTTATTTTTGACCCCAAAATAGCACTCATCAGCCTTCATAGAGCAGGATGTGACTTTGACCCACGCATCAAATATTTCTAGTGAACGGATCAATATTTCACTCTTTGCTGGCTTCATTTCTGTTTTTGCAGACATTAAGAGAGGAATCAGTCCAGGAGATAATAGATCAAAAAAGCTCCCAGTAATATTTACCATTAATGGAATGGTTGCAGAGCAGCCAATCGTAATGCTTCTCTTCAAAAAGATGAATTAATTGTCTGTAATGCATTGAAATCCCACTGGAAACCCCATAGTATGAGAGATGGGTGGCGAGTCCATTTGGACATTCATCCGACAACTATTCATTATTCAGTGAGTAATGAAATATTCATATGCCCAACGAAACAGGGTATTCATTAATTTCTTGAAAGCCTTCACAAACCTGGAGAAGGCTTGCCTAATGTTGCATGGTGGCACTTGAATGGGAAAAAGGTGTTTCCGATGTAGCTTCATCCATCTGTTAACGTCAGTAGAGGCTAACAGTGTTTTGCTAACTGGAACAGGGGGTCTATGCTTACATTTACCAGTAGGGTCTTAGTGCAAGCTGTAATCAATCCTTTCTAACACGTCTCATGTAACAGTCATCCTTAGAGCCAGTGTTCATTGCCTTCTCAGATGGTGTAAAGCAAACCAACAGCATTTTCTCTGACCTTTAACCCATACCTGCAATACTATAAATTCCAAAACAAAAAAAAAGACAGCTGCGTAAAAGGTAACAGCAAAAATGAGCCATCCATCTGGCCCTTAGTGTTAATGTTCCTTCTTAATAGCTCCACACTGCTCTCAGAATGGCCACTGTGAGAGTCTCGTCACAGCAAGCAAACTAACTCACAGCTAGACTCCCATCTACCTACAGGATCCAGGCAGCCCTCAACTTGTACTTGCTGCTGCTGACTCCTTAGTTTCATCGGTTGTAGTTCACCCCTGAGAGCTAGAGCTGCCACACTGGCATATACTGTCCATGTGAGGAGTGCTTACTGCTTCTGTTTGCCCTTCTCAAAAAACATCACTGCCAAGTTAAATTACCTCAATAAAGATTTATGTTTGTATGTAAGGCCGAGCTGTCTCTGTGTGAACTGTTGCAGGTCTGCAACTCTATTAGGTTTAATTTAAAACATTAAATAACAACGGTCTCCTTCAAACAATCCACCACAGCAAAATTAGATTTTATTGTGGCGAGTCAAATCTACAGTGTATTTTTCTTTATTTCTGAGATAACATTGTGATTAGATTTGCTGTGTTTTGATGGACTGACTGAGTCATACTGAGAGCTGTTTCCAAAATGAATTTACAATTCACTGTGTCACACACTACACTTATCTTACGTGAAAGACAACCCAACTTTAAATATAAACTCAGAAGCTTGAAATTTGAGGCTTTGGAGTACAGGCTTAGTGTACACAATTTAGCTAGATCAGACATAAAAGTAGAAGACAATTATCCTTTACTTTGTATGAAAGTTAATAGCACATCTAACAACATCTAATAACTGAGTAATTAACTGCACAAAGAATAGGTACAGGTATACTACAACTGGAACTACAATAGGAATACTACTAAACCATTTCAAGCACTACCTTGTTTTCTGACAAAAACATCAATAGGATAGTATACATCAATGAAAGGGTTTCATCACCCATCTCAAAGACAGCCTCTTTTCATCCTGCACTAGCTCCATTAAGACAAACTCTTTGATCAAAAGATGTCTTATCTTTGTAGACTGACATTTCAGTGATGCATGGTCCTGTTTCTGTTTTAGCTCTTTTTTCAAACTTGTTTCAGATACATTTGTATCTTAATTCAACAGATATATGTATTGTTGTCGAACTGTCATTTATTAAAATCATTAGAAATAGTTTACCGTACCAATCTCATATTTGGTGCCAGTGATGTTGGCGGAGATGGTGCCTTTCTTCTTTTTGGTGCGCACCTTCCTCTTCCCACTGCTCTGGTAGGAGCCCACAGATGGCCCGTTCACGGGGGACGCTCCTTGATCCTCTGGAGGAAGAGACGGCATACAACAACACGAGATTCAGTCACAGCTTGTGCTCAGGACTGGGAGGGGAGCATGAGTTGCTGGAGAATTGTAACATATTTGACACTGTCTGTAGGGGATTTAGTAGGTTTTGTTTATGGGGCTGGGGTGTAAATAAATTGCGCGTATATGCTATAGCTGCATGTATCATGATCGTTTTATCATAATCTTGTGTGTGTGTGTAGTTTATATGCATGGGGGAATACTATAGTATGATGATGATGGCAGGCAGGTAGGTAAATGAGCAGGTGGTCAGGTGTGTGTGCAGAAAACATGTAACCATCTAACAGAATAACTGTGTGAGTCCTGAGAGAGTTGGACCTCTCTTACTCACCTCCTTCATTGGGAGGAGAGGGCATCTCAGAGTCTGGAGGAATGAGGGGGCAAGCCGAGCTTTCAGCCAGGCTTGGTGTGCGGGTGGGCCTCACAGGGTACTCGCAGCCCCTCCAAGGGCTCTGTCACACTCTCTGTTGTTAGTCTTCACTGTCTTGGGCTACCGACGATGTTGTGCGAGATGGCCCAATGGATAATCTGAGCATCTCCCTGGCGCTCTCAGCAACATAAAGGGCAGCAGCAAAGTCTCAGAGGGCAGGGGAGTAAGAAAGGGGGTAGCAGTGGTGGGGAAGAGTGGGAGGGGGAGGACTCTCAAGGGTCTATACAGCCCCAAGAGGAGAGAGGGAGGGAGGGAGGGGATGGACAGAGGGATGGATAGGAATGCCTGTGGAAGAGAAGGAAAAAAGATGGTAGTATTAAACTCAGGGGGTGAGTACTGTTGTGGAATATTTTCCAAGGCCCATAACTTTGACCCAGTGTATCAGTTCAAACTGTCCTGACTGAGCACAGGCACCTGTAACCTTGGCTGCTGTGCTCTCAGTGTTTTGTCTCCCTGTTCCTGCCTGTTGGCGTCAGCTGATAGAGGTGTTATGATTCTATCTTGTTATGCAGCATGTTGATGATGCTCTCTGAACTAGCTAAATACATGGGTCTGGGGTAGAGTTCTTCAGAATTGACGTGGCAACTCTACCGTGAAGTCAGAACCTCTGACTCTTGGACTTGTGATGTGAATCCTCCGGCCGTTAACTCCAAATAAACCACCAGTGTTTGACATCAAAGCTACTGCTCCTACCGTGTCTCCTTCCTGAGTCGGTGACTCCCACTGCATAGCTACACAGAAGTTTCCTCTACAAGTACAGTGCACACTAAGGATCTGTGTGTATATTCTCACCGGCTGACTGAAGTGCATTGGACATGCTTTTGATGTAACGCAGCAGCCGCTAGCAGGCCTATCACAGGCTACATCAGTCAGCCTGACACCCAGCGTAACAGTTCAGTGAGAGCTCTGTACAGCTCTGACACCACAGTACTGCTAATGAAATAATCCAAAGCCGTGTGACGTTCACTGGACTAATTGGTATTCCGTGGAACAATTGTGAAATATTAATGTGGTTGTCAGGTGAAGGGTTTGCAGAATCTCACTGTGTGTGATGCTGGTGCCAGCTTGGATTCATTGTATGGCTGAGAGGTCACTTCATTCAAACAGATGGCGTCTTTACAGTGGTTTGTTAAAAGGATGCTTCAGGCTATGAAGTGGTGTGGGAAATTAACACCAGTCAACAGCCAAATTCTATTATTGTTAGGCTGCAGTCAGAGAGTGTGTGGTCTAACCACTTTTGGGGGTAATCAACCATTGCATGAAATGCCCTGTCACATCGTTTATTGCTGGTAGGGGCAACATAGTGACTCATGGTTATTAGCAATGTTGCCTCAAAACAAGTGAGGGACTATGTTTGCGGGTTATCGTGTTGTCCCTGTGGTCTCATGTCCAGGTGCTTCAAATTCTTCAAATTAACTAAGACAAAGCAGCATTCAGGTGGCCCAGAGACTTCAAACTGCCCACAGGGTATGAATCTCTGTGAGTCTGTACAGTGAATCCATACACATAAAGCATGCTTGGAACAATTCCAGCTGCTTATGATCCTTTAAAGTCACATAGTGCAAGTAGCTGCTCAATTTGAGGCGAAATTATCAATGCAAGTGGATTAGGCCCACAACAACTGGAGGACTAATCTGAAGTGTTGTGAGAGGGTTAAAAGAGAAACAAGTACAGTGGGGCAAAAAAGTATTTAGTCAGCCACCAATTGTACAAGTTCTCCCACTTAAAAAGATGAGAGAGGCCTGTAATTTTCATCCTAGGTACACCTCGGATGAAAACCTATGAGAGACAAAATGAGAAGAGAAAAAAATCCAGAAAATCATATTCTCTGATTTTTAAAGAATTTATTTGCAAATTATGATGGAAAATAAGTATTTGGTCAATAACAAAAGTTAATCTCAATACTTTGTTATATACCCTTTGTTGGCAATGACAGAGGTTAAACGTTCTCTGTAAGTCTTCACAAGGTTTTCACACACTGTTGCTGGTATGTTGGCCCATTCCTCCATGCAGATCTCCTCTAGAGCAGTGATGTTTTGGGGCTGTCGCTGGGCAACACAGACTTTCAACTCCCTCCAAAGATTTTCTATGGGGTTGAGATCTGGAGACTGGCTAGGCCACTCCAGGACCTTGAAATGCTTCTTACGAAGCCACTCCTTCGTTGTCCGGGCGGTGTGTTTGGGATCATTGTCATGCTGAAAGACCCAGCCACGTTTCATCTTCAATGCCCTTGCTGATGGAAGGAGGTTGTCACTCAAAATCTCACGATACATGGCCCCATTCATTCTTTCCTTTACACGGATCAGTCGTCCTGGTCCCTTTGCAGAAAAACAGCCCCCCAAAGCATGATGTTTCCACCCCCATGTTTCACAGTGGGTATGGTGTTCTTTGGATGCAACTCAGCATTCTTTCTCCTTCAAACACGTCTAGTTGAGTTTTTACCAAAAAGTTCTATTTTGGTTTCATCTGACCATATGACATTCTCCCAATCCTCTTCTGGATCATCTAAATGCTCTCTAGCAAACTTCAGACGGGCCTGGACATGTACTGGCTTAAGCAGGGGGACACGTCTGGCACTGCAGGATTTGAGTCCCTGGCGGCGTAGTGTGTTACTGATGGTAGCCTTTGTTACTTTGGTCCCAGCTCTCTGCAGGTCATTGACTAGGTGCCATTAATACAGTTAACGAGTGGAGGACAGAGGAGGCTCTTAAAGAAGAAGTTACAGGTCTGTGAGAGCCAGAAATCTTGTTTGTTTGTAGGTGACCAAATACTTATTTTACCGAGGAATTTACCAATTCATTCATTAAAAATCCTACAATGTGATTTCCTGGATTCTTTCCCCCCATTCTGTCTCTCATAGTTGAAGAGTACCTAGGATGAAAATTACAGGCCTCTCTCGTCTTTTTAAGTGGGAGAACTTGCACAATTGGTGGCTGACTAAATACTTTGTTGCCCCACTGTATAGTATGTTAGCCTGCTTTGATTTTTCCTTTATTATTATTAGTTTAATAGTTCTTAAAGTTAAAATACAAGAAGGGAAAATATATAACAGTTATATCTTTAACTTTACTTTGCAGTTTAACTGAATAAACTAATAATCCCATACACCAGTTAGGCTACATGCACAGCATTGCTTATGTTGCCACTTCTGCCTTTCATACAGAGATCAACAGTAGCCTCTAGTGGTGAGAAAACTGAAAAGCACATTTCCTATTTTCAAATGTTTTACTTACTTACCCATACGTACACATGTACAGATATACAGGCTAACTTAAAAAGCAACCCTATCGATTCGATCAGCATCCACTGAAGAAATTGGAACGGGGAAACAATCCAATCGCATGACTTGATCACACAGTGGTCTTCACTGTCAGCCTCTGGGTCTGCCTGTGGTAAGCACGAGACATTGATCCGGGGGAGGACAGAGACTGGAATGAGATCAGCGCAGAGGGGGAGAGCAACAACAAAGAATCAGGGTGATAAAGTGAGGCAGGCTGTGTTGTTGACAACCTGCCCCCACATCCCAGTGGTGTGCTGGCTCTGTGTACAGGAGGCAGGAAGCACTGTCGCAAAAGGAGCACTGGACCTCACTGTCATGTAATCCCACCGGAACAAGGGGGGGGGTCTGACAGGGACATATAATGCCACTGAACTCAAAACAAACATATGACTTTACACTTAATTCAAGTTATCTTTGAAAAATACACACAATCCTCATAACAGGGCTGCAATGTAGTACTCAATTCCAGCACCAGACACTTTTGTACGCTGCTATGGACAATCTTGCACTATGTACATTCCCTAACATATTGAAGTGACTGCTATTTTGTTATTTTGTATATATTGATTGTTGTGTTTTAACCCATCAGAGACTGCACTGACCTCACCACCTCACCAAAACTCACAAAAACTCACCTCTTCAATCTGGCTTTTAATGTGTGATTGTTTTTGTATTATTTGACTTTAACTTTAACTATATATTTATTTGTTGTTCCTTTCTTTTCTTTTCTCTTCACTATATCTGTAAAGCGTCTGTGAGCACCTGTAAAAGCGTTAATAAATTAAATCTATTATTATTATTATTATTAATGTGTGCATATGTGTATACAGTATGTTGATTGTACAGCATATATAGAGGATATACATATTTATACATATTTGTATTATTCTATGTTGTATTCCGGATTGCTGGAAACGTTATTTCGATCTCTCTGTCTGTACAAACACACAGAAAAATTGACATTAAAGTTGACTTTGACTAATGTTAATCCTAATTATTTAGCAAAATGCCAGATTATGAATCCTCAGAATTTAGATGTTATCTTCTTTTTTGTTTCTTTTTCAACATCAGTATTGTCAACAAAAGTAGACATACTGGAACATTATTTGTATTATCTCCTATTATGTCACTAAGAATTATTGTTGATGTTAACCACATTGTTTCAAATCTTAAATGCTACAATTTAATGTACCACCATGGCCAAAAATGAAGCTTCGAAAATAACTGAGAGACAAGCACATTTTGCAAATAGAAATGTAGTTTTCAAAGATACACTCTGGTAATGCGAAAAAAATGAATTCATTGCAGTTCGTAGAGTGAAATGTCAACATAGATTCCTATCTAGGCTTGTTTGCCTGACTGCCATATAAGGTCACAGTTGAGCCCCTTTGGTAGCCAATACAAAGGACCCAGCAGAGGGAGGCTCTGTCCTGTTTTGCTCATTCCTCTTGGTGGTAGTTATTAGCTGCAAGAGAGCCTTTTACATGCATTCACATAATAGAAGTGAGAATTCAGTACAATCGGACAACAGACTAGTTTGTCACTGACTGATAGAAGCATTTCAGCAGGACATCCTGTTGTAATGCCACAGATGTCAAATGAGCTGGGTGAATGTTGTTGCATGCCATTAGTCTCCTATCACTGCACTAATTGTACTTCCCGTTCATAAAATAGAAAATATATATTAAATAGAGACAATCCTTTAGATTAAAATAATTGTATTTTGTCACTTTCGTGTTAAGTATATAGTTTTTTATGCAAAAGCATGTGCTACAGTAGCTGCTGTTGTTTGCCCCCCTATTAAAAGTGTCTATAACAGGGTACATGCAGGAATCCTGAAGTCAAATGTAAGACCTTTTTTAAGACCCTTTCCATACATTTTAAGACCTCATCGCCACTTTGAGTTTTAACCGGTTACATTGGCGACACACTTTATCTCACATTGACTATATTCAGTATTGATTGTCCTTCCTCCTTATCTTCCAACCGTTTGGACGCAAACTTCCATTTCCCCATAACGATGTTGTTTAACAACCGGCGTAAACGGACCTTCGCGCGCTATCAAGCAGTGAGCGCGCGATGTCCTGTTGAGATGACGTCAAATCTAACGGGATGCCAGAAATAAACTACACAGAATCTCACTACACATCTACGCAATGATTACATTCAGGCAAACTGTAGAATACAACCTCTTTGGACAATTTATATACTTATTGAAAACAAGCTACAAAATGTAATACCTTGGAAAAAGCCGTTTAATACTTTTTAATAGCATTAATTTTCGCTAAATTGATTTATCAACTTTTAATACTTTTTAAGACCCCACGGACACCCTGTATAAACCTTTAAGTCACTTTTTACAAGATTTAAGGGAATACAACATTAAAACAAACTCAAAAGAAAAATACACTTTGAAAGAATTTAATTCAAATATATTTTTGCTGCTAGCATCATCATTAATAATCCTTCAGTGTAGTATTACATTTTTACTAAATCCCTTCCACTAAGCACTGTATCTACTGCTAATCCTCCGGTGCAGTGACGTTTATTCTCCAACAGAGTGAGCCAAAGCGCCACAACAGCAGAGAAGAGCTGAATAGGCCCAGCTCCTAATGATGCTGATCTCATGCACTTCCCCTTTGCCACACACAACACAGAAAGGCCTCATTGTAGAGAGTCAGCTTTTCATGCTGCTCATCTGCATCACTTTCTGCCTCACAAGCCCTAAAGGCATGACAAAAGCCTGTCTGTCTTTTAGGGTGTTGTTATGCATGTCTGTCGAATTATCCAGCACAAGTTGTTAATACATGTGTCTCATTACTGTACGCCACCCTTCTCATATATATTTATTTGGCCTGCAGAATTTAAACTACATCACAAAGATTTTTTTAAACTAATATACAGAAGTCAAGTATTGCAAAACTCTTCCTAGATATTCACTGTTATCATATTCCTCTATCTTAAGACAATGGTACTACCTTTTATATCAAAAGCAACTTCAGAAGGACAGCAAAAATAGCTTTACAATAAGCGTGCCAAGGAAGAAAGCTTTACCAAAACAGCAGACTGTTTATTTATGACAAGCGGTGTCACACCTATTACACAAGTCCCTTCAACAGGCAGCAGTACTTCCCTGGAGGGTTTGTTTTATGTTCTCCCTGCCTAACATGAAACTACATCTCGAAAGCAGTCGTCATATACAGAATCAATACAAAAAGGCTTGGGGAACCACCACTTAGCCTTATGTCAGCATGATTTACAGACACAAGTTATTTTCTGTACATGCAGTATGCGCCAGTCTTGCCACTATAGTATAGCAGTGCAGGGACCTCAGGGTATGTAACACCATTTAAACGGACAAAGACACTAGCTAGGAAGAAGACATGGTGCACTATTACACATCCTTGAAAAGCAAATGTAAACAAAATATGTGTCAAGTAGAAAATAGAGCTTTTGTTTTAAAAATAGTACAAATCCTTTTGACTATACATTTTTCTTACACTCTAAAGACACAATGCCAATGTTCACAAAAATGCAGTATGTTTTACAAGAAACTATTTCCTTTCATTATCTATTCAGCTACAACCACTTTGTCTTCCAGTGAAAAATGAGAGCTGAGTTTGCGGATTACTCTCACAGGAAAGTAGCTGGTGTAGAATTGCCAGTGGATCTAAACTTAGCTCCAACCACTGACCCATCTCTGGCTTCCTGCCTTTTCCCAGATATGAGTAGGAGCTAGTGTGGGAGATGTCAGCCCACGGGATACTGAAATACACCAGCAAACAACAGAATGCTAATCTAAAGTGATACTGGTAAAATGTCCCATTGAAAAATTCCACTTTTTTGTATAATTTATATTCATTACAATCTTGCCTGAACTTGTTTTCTGTAAGACAAAGAGGGGCAAATAACTTACGGTTGCAATAGGAATTTTGTTTTAAAGCAATGCATTGTTATAACCAAGTATGCTTGAAATGTATACAGTGCAACAACACATATAAAAAGGGTTTCAAATGTTGATCAAACACCTTGGTTTAAATGTATACCTACATTAAGCTAGTGTGATCATTGCCAGATAAAAGATAATGCCCCTGTCAAGCAAAGCCTACCAGGTCAAACAAACCAGCTGCTGACACAAACATTAAATGAACTGTTGTGCATTTGGCATGTCATTCAAAAATGTAAACCTGTCTAAATGAATCTGTCTTTGAATTGAGTTGAGTCTTTGTTTTTTGTGCTGTTTGCAGCAGTGCACCTACAACATGTAGGCCATTTGGTTTGTTTTTGTATGTATTATCATTATTATTATAACGATCAAAGATAATAAATCGAAATCGAACCAACCTCAATAAAAAATCAAATAAAAACCAACTGGCTCTGATGCTGTAGGTGCTGTGCTGGAATAAGCACTACAATCCTGTAGTAACTTTAACTTTAATAACAATTGCAGAATGCGTAATGTAGCCTGAATGAAAATAAAATATTGTAAATATCATATCCTTCTTATTAGCCTTATCTATTAGAATAGGTCCAGGACGCATGATGCCATCCATACCTCTAGCATATGTTAGGCTGTTATTATTATGTAATCCCCTTGCTCTTTAGGAATTGGTCATCTCTAGGGTGCTTTATCAGCATGTGGTTTCTAAGTGGCACACAATATTACAAACAGACCTCTAAATCAAACGGCTCTTCAAACAACCTCCCTCGTGTAATTAACCAGTATCTGAGCATCCACAGCTAAACGCCAGCTAAAGTATTGCATACCAAGACATATGCAAAGCTAGCCTGAGCTAAGAAGCTAAGCAGCGAGAGGACATATGCTTGTCACAGCAAAGCAAGCAATATGGTATGTCCCAGACCACTGTGAGGATAGTAGGCCATACCCTTTAATAAATATTGTCTGTATTTTAAGATTGGTGCAAGATGTATTTCTTAAACACGCATGTTATATCTTGGATATCAAGATATTTCGGGATATTGTTGTTGCTTAACAAAATGTAATGTCACAAAACGTAAGCAGGTGTATGCAATAAGTTGCTAGCAAGCGTTAGCACACGTTCGTCTAGCCACTAGTGTACTGTAAGTCAGGTGGAAGGATCACACAAGGAAGCAATCTGGCAATGTTGCTTTCAAATGCAGCGTTACCGCAACGTTAACGTTTAACTGCACAGTGAACGAGGGCCTTTTCAGTTAATGTAACATCGAAATGAAATAAACACTCCTGAATGAGATGCAGTGTAATGATTCAGAAGGAACATGATGACCCTGGGCTACTCTACAGTTAGCTTAGCCGCACTACCTAGCAAAGGATGGAGAGGGGAACGCGAAGTAGCCCGTTAACGTTACCTTATTTATTCCAGGCTGTGCAGCTCCCTGCTGGTCACATCCAACCGACACAGCCGCCGTTAAGTGCGACACTGGGGCCTCTTTTAAAGAAACAGCACTGTCCTGAGTGTATAATAAACAATATGGCAGTGTTTATGTTGTGTTACTACTGAAAACTGACGTTGGTTGACAGACAAAAAAAATCAGTATCTTGTAGTCCTCTTGTGTGCTGGAGCGAGTCCATGGGCTAAACCATTCGTTCCCTAAGAGAGGGGGTGGCTGATTGAAGTGCTGAAGTTTGCATTCTCAATTTGGTAATAGCATGACGTTTGGGGTACTGTAAAACGTACAAGAAAAATCAGCACATATTATATTCAACTCGTAACTAGCTGTAAGGGGCACGAAAAGGCTTACCAAAGCCGCAAGGAATATTTCGTACACTTTTGGGTCAGGTGTCGATGCAGCTCGTCTGCCACAACTAGCTGATGCAAACACAGGGAAGCTACCTAGCAACCGTGTCGCTGACCATGGTGCTAAAAAACAACCCTGCGGATTATGGGTGCGTCCTGCTCAGAGGTCATAAGGTGCCACTGTTACCTGTTCGATGTAATAACGCATACATATTCCTCAAACTGTGTCGGATTCTTGCTTTCCTACTTATATTTTCAGATGTTTTATTTATTTTTCTAAGCAAGATAAGACACATTTATTTTATTTAATAATAATTATAATAAAGCTTTATATAGCACTTTTCATACAACACATGCAGCTCAAAGTGCTTTTCAAAATGGCACACATCACAAATTCAAAATAAACAACAAGAAATTCCCCTCAGATTATATGTTAAAAACTTTACAGGTACGTGCAGCAAAATAAAATGTTAACAGGTTAAGAGACACAAGGAGGTAAAAGGTATGGTAATAAAAATAAAATACAATAGTATAAATAATTATTTCTCTCCGACAGATAAGACACAAGACAACTGAATCGATGCAACAATATATATATTTAGCAGACTTTATACAGCAAGTCCTTCATACTGTAAAAAGACACGGGCATAAAAAACAGGAAAAACACACAAGTTAAAAAGTTATTTATAATTTAAAGCTATGGCACAAACGGTCTTGGATTTAAAAGAAGTCTGCATTTCTTAAAGTTTTAGATGTATTGGCAATTCGTCACAATTTGAGCAGCATTGAAGCTTAAGTAAATAATAAACGGAAGTTGAAAATGTATTATTTAAAATGATAGCTTACATAAGATGCATAATACGGATACAGGAGGCTAAATTACGGTGGCCCTGAAGTGCAAGACACCACAGCATTTCACAAAACACGACAGCATTTCACAAAACACGACAGCATTTCACAAAACACGTTTTGTGAAATGCTGTTGTGTTTTGTGAAATGCTGTGGTGTCTTGCACTTCAGGGCCACCGTACTAAATAGATAAATAGTATACAAATCAAACGATAAAAAAGAGACAGGGGTATATCAGATGTGCAGAGACATACTTTATATACGGTTTTAATATTATATATATATATATATATATATATATTAATTTATTTATTTGATCACTCAAAGACAATGAATATTTTAGGATATGGGCATCCTGACTCAACGAACTTGTGTGTTTGTCATTTTTGACATTTTGCATTTGACAGTGCATGTGTGCACAAAACATGTATAAGTCAGTTTCAATAAGACTGTATAGAGTTGACCTTTGTTTATTTTGGTAAGATGAACATGTAGTCACTTACTATTTAACTTAAAATGAAGAATTAAAAAGTTCCTAGTGACTGCTAATGCCTCTCACCACAAGGATACACTTTTTAATGTTTTTTCTTTTGTGTCCTCGAATCCACCCGCATAACTGCGCGGTGTCAATGGTCTGCATCAGAGGCTCTGGTCTGCATGTTTTCTTCCAAAAGCACTTGACTCTGAGGATTACATCACTTCCTGTGTGCGCAAAGTTGTTTGTAACCGTTCTGTCAAAAATGCTGCATTCAAGACGTGTGGGAAATGCCATAAACCATAACTTGCAAGATGTTCATCACTCAATTGTTCGATGCCAATTCCTAACTGTAGGATTAAACGGGATATTTCTAATAAGGTAGATACTGGGAGGGTGGTTTTGTTATTTTGGAAATTAACAATGGAATGAATGAACGAAATAACTTTATGAGTGGTGGTATTTCAAAGCTGCATTCATCCATGGCCTGTCAGAAAACTTTAATGATGAAAGATATTTTTAAATGACCAAACAACTCAAAAATATCGTGAAAGTCGTGACTTCCTTGCATGTGATGGCCACAATGTCCATCTACAATTGTATACAGTATGCAGTGCACCTCTTACACTGCTCATAATAAGTAAGGGGCAGGTAAAATAAGACTTTCTTCTCCCTGCTCCTTTCCATTAAAAAAAAAAAGCTTACAAAGTATACTAGTTTTGTTTTATAATAATTGCCATGAGTGGAATAAAAACTAAAAACTAAAAACTGAATAAAAATCTTAACAATCTAAAATCCAAATATCAATATACTTTATATTGTAGCCACCGATTGATCACTGGTCATACAGTAAACGTGAGTATATGATTTCCAACCGGCCCTTGAAAGCTGCGTTTCATCCATTAATTCGGTTCTGTGGGTATTCCCATATGACGTGAACGCAGCACAAGACGACAGCAGGCAGAGGTGAAAAGTCTGTAATCTGGATCATGTTTTCATTCCAGCGGAGGAATACTTGAACCTCAAAGGACATTGTAAATAACGATCATCTGGGCGGTTAGCAAAGCACGTCGAGGTTCGGTCCACAAGGAGAAGACATTAATGTTGTTGTTAGCCAACCCGCTAGCACAAGCTGATATTTGTTAGCTAGCTAACGGAGGACCCTGTTAGCTAACGGCCACCATCATCGCTCCTAGACAGCTGTGCATCGCCCTGTCTTCCGACGATGGGAAACGCAGCAACTGCCAAGAAAGGCAACGAGCAAGAAAGCGGTGAGTCCCTGAAAGCCATCCAGCTAGCCTGTTAGCCATCTAACCTTATCATGAAGTCAGGGAGCCTTTAGCAGTGTCCAGTGTTAGCAGTCAGTACAGTAACATGGGCTGCAGAGAATAACCATCTTTGGTATGGTACTCTACAAGGTGTGTTAGCTCCCTCGTAATGGTGTCTGTTTGCTTATTCCACCTGGTGCCACAGAAGATACAGCTACCTAGTTCATGAAAGTGACATTCGAGCAGACAGTGAGGTCCTCCTAATAATCCTGTTGAAGGTTTCCCACATGCAGATACAAATAATTGAATCAACGAAATGAAAGATATTCTTATTGTTCACTCTGTACAACTGAAGTTATCAAAGCACCATGTTTAAATTCCAAAGTGGTTTTTTCAGCTTCCTGGAGCATGATAACATCAGCAAACATTGGTTTCTACTTAAGCTACATATAAGGCCTAGTCAATGCCAAGTATAACGACTGGCAGACAAGTTGGCTGCTTAATGTGTTTAAAATGGGCTATTAATGTTACTGTTAAACAAGTGTTTTTTGGTTAGGACCTACACAATGGCTTAAAACATTTTCTATTTAACCAACAAGTTAACTGTAAATTACATTGTTATGCTTCCATTTCTGCTTTCTTACAGTGACATTAACTTGTTTTGTTGATGCTATAACATAGAGGAAAGGTCGCCCGTCCTAGTCAAATTACACCTGTCTAATATCAATTTTGCAATCTGAAGTGCTCCATCAATCATTTGAAAGCAGAAACCGGAGGGCACTCTGTTGTGTCTAGTGAGCATTTGCCAGTAAGGACCAAACTAATCCACTAAACTGTCTGTCTGGAGCTCTGATCTTGGCCTGCTTTCTGATTGGCATTAGTCCAGAAGTTTTACAGCCTCAAGCCACCTGTAGTTTATGTAGGGAGGGGCTGAGGGTTGTGTACAATAACATTGTGATGCAAACAACAAGCTATAAAAACACATTGTTTACAATGTAAGTATTATCCAGAGGAGCCCACCCCGATGTCAGTACAAAACAGACCCACATTTCTGGAAAACAACTTTTTTTTCTAGGTGAGGGTTTGTTCATAAGGTTGACTTTTAAGCACAGGACAGAGCTCTTTGAAGCACTGCATTGTTAAAGTTTACCACCAGAGAGCAGGATAACCTTGAGGTAACTTCCCTCTAAGTTAGTCAGTGGGTGTTACAGGTCTACTGTTCCTTATCAGCACTCTGAATGCACCACAGCTGTGTGATTTTTCTGACATAACCTTAGGAGGCTGGCCTGTGTGCTGCTTCGCTTCCTTTGTATACCTTTGTCAAAGCAGCGTCACATTGGAGAGAGTTTTCCACACCATGTAAAAGAGTAGACATACAGTTGTCCGCTGAAACTGAAGCAGAGTACTCGAACAGGAAGCTCGACTTTATGTGGTTAGCCAAGCATTGCAGTGCGCTCGGCTGCATACAGGAAGTTCGTATCACTCGTTGGTCTTCAGGGTGAAAAGTTGTCTTTGCCTGTGAGCCTTTTCGTGCCGTGCACCTCAGGGAATTTGTCTCAAATGGCCCAGGGAAAGGACCAATCCTTCGCAAGCCGCCTTTTCCATAGATGTCGTAAGAGTAGCCAAGAGCAAAAAGGACTAGAGAGTGAGGTGCCTCATATCTCTGAGTTCACCATCATGTGGGATAAGTTCAGTAAGTGTGATGTGTTGCTTTTACACAGAGAAATGTGTTTGCCACGATCTGCAGCTTCAAGCAAGGCAAGTCTCGGCTTGCTTTCCTAGTTCTCGTATGTCGGAAAACTATTTTGATGAAGCGCATATAATAACCCAATTGGTGTTTGAGTTTAAACTATTCAGGTCTGTTAATTGGTTTACATTTGATTAAGTCGTTTTTATTTGTAATATACATGGTTGGTCTGTTGGTTCTTTAGGCACACATTCCTGACTCACCAGAGACATCCGTATTAAGCAGCTTTGTAGGGGAAGCCATTTGTGGTGCTTCAGTCGCTTGCATCATCTTTGTGTGCTGTTTAAAATGTGTTTTACGTGTGCTTATTGCAATGTCCTTTCAATCACTGTTTTGTTATAGTCTTTGTGACAGATGTGTGGTGTTACTAGTGTAGGGTAGTGAGAAACCTCTCCAAGAAAGAGAAACTTAAAAGAGAAAATGAGGTGCACATATTGAGGAATACCTGATGTAATTGATAAGATTTCAAACTCTATGACTTAGTTTTAGCCATTTTCTTCATGTTTAGTGATAGACTTTTATAGAAGTTTTCCAACCCAAATAGTGGTGTTGTTACAATGTAGAATATTGTATTCAGGTGTTAATTGTCTTCTTCAGTGTCATTTTGTTGTGTGTTTCATTTAAACCACTTGAATCTCAAATGTTCTTGTTTTAAGCTCTTCATAAATGTGTCTTCCTCTCTTTCTCTTCTCCATCATTTCCATCCATGTGGGTGAATGTTCCTGCAAACTCCTTGGTGAACTGTAGAGACTTTTGGTATGCTAATTATTCCATGAGCGATCCTTAGTCACAGAGGATAGTCTTTCAGCAGTTTTGGCCTACCAGGCTAGTATTCTCCTTCATCTTAATATTACAAAGATTGAGGTCATTTGGGTAGCCGGTTAACATACAGCTTCCACATAGTCCTTCAATGCCAGGTATTGTTTAAATCAGCAACTTCGTACCAAGTGCAACACCAACTTGACATTAGATACCTTCTGTGACTTTGGACATCTCATGTCTGCTGTGACTTTCACAATGCACTCTTTCTACTGCCTGCACTGTGGCCTCAGTTGTGTTTTGTATTTTGTTCTCTGCCAGTATTACTGCCTTCCCCACTTTACTTCCACCTTCTCCTGAAAGGGATGCAGAATAGCTTGTCTACGAATTGGCCATTTCTGTAAAGTCCACAAAAAAAGCTCTTTGCATCGCTTTAAGAATTAGAATATCCTACGTGTCGTTTTAAGTCTTTTTTTAAGGAGATTTGATTTTGTGCCAGTTTTTTTAAGTAAAGTCCTGCATCCCCTACTTGACATTTGCCTGACCTTAAAATGCCTTTGTTTCCCTGAAAATATGACCTGCCTTTGTTTATTTTCCCAAACACGGTAAACTGCCCCAGTTTGTTTTTTCCCCTTAAAATGTTAACTGAACTTCTGTGAAAACCAAATACTTGTTGATAAGTCACACTGGTGTCTCTTTTTACAGTGAAAGAGTTCTTAGCTAAAGCCAAAGAAGATTTTTTAAGAACATGGGAGTGTCCACCACAGGTAAGTTGTTCCCTGTGAATCATTTTCTTTACAGAATTCAAACTTTAATTTCACTTAACTCACTGGACTCAACTATTTTCCATGAGTGAACACAAATATGACACATAGACACTTTGTTTAACCACTTCCTGCCTTAAATGTTGTTGACTGAAATGCTTACTGATTACAACATCTCCATTCATCTTGTGTTTTTACTCTGAGCTTCACGGAGGCAAAATGTTGTTCTAGTTGAATCGATTAGAGAGGCAATTACACTAAACTGATAAGCAAAAAAGGAAGCATTCAAATCACAATGTTTCTGTCTTCACTTTGACTGATAATCTTTCCACAGAGCACAACTGGCCTGGATGACTTCGATAGGTTCAAGACTCTGGGCACTGGCTCATTCGGGCGAGTTATGCTTGTCAAACATAAAGAATCCAATCAGTTCTACGCCATGAAGATCTTGGACAAACAGAAAGTAAGTGTATTTCTTTAAAGAAAAACTGTTCACCAATCTCAAAGACTGGTGTTGTAAATCTGGGTAGTCTGTGAAAAGCAAACTCCTGCATGCAATTTTAGAACTACATAAATGCTGTGCATCTTGTAAAAGGAAATGGTACGCTTCCTCTCATGCACTAAGAGTGTGTTATCGTTGAAAACCTCAGAGGCGCTTCACATTAGAGTTTCGATTTGAAATACTGATGTGAGAGTTGTGGGAGGAGGTAAGTGTGTCCTCTATGGGCTGCTCATGTAGCGGTGCACTGCTTCTTTGAATTTCACACAGTGGAATTAAAAGATAAATGTGTCTGACTTTCTGTTCCAGCTGAACTACTGTCTGCTTTCTTGTTCTGTTTTCTTCTTCACACTTTGTATGGGGAACTTTTATAACCAACATTTATTATTCCGTTTTTTGACTTTTTATCCCACTTGCTACTACTAATAATGTAATAATAATACATTTATTTTGTAAGCGCTTTTACAGGTGCTCAAAGTCGCTTTACAGAGGTAGTAAAAACAAAAAAAGAACAACAATTCAATATAAAATCCCATTAAAATCTAGCAATAAAACAACAATCACACATTAAAAGCCAGTTTGAAGAGGTGAGTCTTTGTACGTTTGTTTGATGGTGGAGAGGTCAGTGCAGTCTCTGATGGGTTGTGGGAGTGAGTTTCAGAGGGAGTGTACATTTGACATAGGTGCTGACCATTTCCCAAAGTATGCTATGCAATTTACAGGTTTTTAAACGTGAATGTATTGTATCCCAGGGCGGCATTGTTTTCCATTCAGATGTTTCACTATGCAAATTCAATTAGAAAAACATGCCTGAGATACAGCAGGTATTTCATTAAGTGTCTTAGCCAGCTGTTATATAAGTGTGTGGTAATGCAGGTAAACTGGATTGAGTCTGACAGTCTTTTTAAACCAAGAACCTAGAAAAAAATGTCCTTAATGATAGGTTGAGTTCAGATTAAACGCCAACCAGATACAAAGATTGTCAATACAAATGCGTGAATAGAAAGAAAAATTGCACTTTTAACCATCTTGCAGTGTAAAAAGTCAAACTGAAAAAGAATAGAATTGAATCTCTGGTTTATTACGTCTTCAGTCTGTACAAGTTGCTTTGTACATGTTACTGAAATGAAGGGAAACTGACTGTCCAAGATAATGTAATGCATTGAAAAGAAATCCTTCATATTTGGACGGAAATTAGCAAAACATGTGTTTATTAACTTTTTTATTTGGCGTAGCTCTCTTTTATTTATATATATATATATATATATATATATATATATTACTTTAGATTTTGCTTTGATTGAACTGGAACATAATGCAATACACTCAATTATTAGAAAGTCTTTTGCTTAATATACACTTAGTTATAATATTGTGCCTTGTTTTCCCTTTAGGTGGTGAAGTTGAAGCAGATAGAACACACACTAAATGAGAAGAGAATACTACAGGCCGTGTCTTTCCCCTTCCTCGTCAGATTGGAGTACGCTTTCAAGGTACATTCAGACGCCTCCTCCTGCAACCAACTACATGGTTACCACTGTTTCATCAAGACATCCAACAGTAATCTAACAGACCTTTTGTGTTCACCTGTCACAGTGCTAAAGCTGTTACAGTACAAATAGCCAGGCAACTTCATTTGATGGAACACCAACCTTAACAGAATGGGCACCCCCATAATGTTCTATTATTTGGGTTACAGTGTTTCATTTACCTACGTGAAGAACTCTTATTATTTAACATGTTAGCAGTGGTTTTGCCCTGGACTTAGTTTGTGTTCTCCTTTTTAATAAACAGGACAACTCGAACCTCTACATGGTGATGGAATACGTGCCGGGTGGTGAGATGTTCTCACACCTCAGACGTATTGGAAGGTTCAGGTATAGAGCACACATTTTTTTATTATTAATGCTTTTATTTTTGCATGAGCACTTTATCCGACACTAATAGCTGGACAAAGCTGTGAAAACCATATCTCTAAATGATTGAGTTTGCGCCTTCACTCAGAAGAGAACTGTGTTTATATATATTTCTGTCTGACTGTCCTTCTTTCAGTGAAAACCATGCAAGATTTTATGCAGCTCAGATAGTACTCACCTTTGAGTACCTTCACTCCTTAGACCTCATCTACAGAGACCTGAAGCCTGAAAACCTGCTCATAGATCAACATGGGTACATCCAGGTAAACAGTTCATGTAAACGTTGTAAAATAAAAAAATTAACTGAATGAAAATGTTTATTGTGACTTTGAGGGTACCCGGTAAAAGGGTGGAATGGAAAAAATGGTTTATGAACCTAAAACTTTGGTTTGGATTTTTTTTTTTTAACTGAAAATCTGGCGTGAGCTTGTGCTGATGATAGACGTAAATGTAGTACATGTTAACTTTGTCCTTAGTTTCTTTTCTTATCGTGCTCTTATTGTTCTATGTTCAGGTCACAGACTTTGGCTTTGCCAAAAGAGTAAAAGGCAGGACCTGGACATTGTGTGGGACTCCTGAGTACCTGGCTCCAGAGATCATCCTCAGCAAGGTGAAACGGTTATACCCAATGTAGCCTGCATGCATATTATGACATTAGATTTAGAAAGTAATAAAACAGTAACTCCAGCACAATAGATTTTAAATGTGTTATGCATGGTTTATCTTCATAAACATCAGCCATACAATCCAAAAGTAAGTCAAACTACTTTGTTTATTAAAATTGGCTGACGATTTCAGGGATACAGTCACTAGTCATATGATGTGAATGTAAAAACCCACAAACTAAAGCTAAGTGTAGAGCCAACACAACGGAAAAACGGTCTCTCCTTGTGAATACCTGACTGCTCTGTATGTCTCAAACCTTTCTGACTGTCATCATCAGTCATTATCCAAGGTAGTTTGTCAACATTAAGGTTGAGCCAAGCCTACAGTCTTTTGAAAATATTGGGGGTTTTTTATTTCGGTTTCTGACTCTTCCAGGGCTACAACAAAGCTGTGGACTGGTGGGCCCTTGGAGTTCTCGTCTATGAAATGGCTGCTGGTTATCCTCCCTTTTTTGCTGACCAGCCTATCCAGATCTACGAAAAGATTGTGTCTGGCAAGGTATGCAGAGATACACACACACACACAGCCTTAAGGTTAAATATAATAGTGTCATTATGTCGCTGCCTTGAAACCACGAGTATCAACTTGCCTTTGGCTTTCACACATGTTTTATATAGATTGTGCTTGTTAATCCAAAGTGCCCTGCTATTTTTGCTCCTGTAGGTACGATTTCCCTCTCACTTTAGCTCTGACCTGAAGGATCTGCTGAGAAACCTCCTCCAGGTCGACCTGACAAAGAGATTTGGCAACCTGAAGAATGGTGTGAATGACATCAAAAATCACAAGTGGTTCGCCGCAACAGACTGGATTGCCATCTACGAGAGAAAGGTATGATTTTATTGTGACATTACATGTTTCTGATGACACGTCTGTTACTGTTCATCCTTTAGTTATTTAGTAAATATGATAAACAATCATATAAAAATCGTACACAAACCGTAAAGCTTAAATTGAAGGCCGAGGCTAATTTAAACTCTGAATCCCTTTTACTCGTTTGTTTTGACAAATACACAGGTCTTAATCAGACATTGAGTACCCTTTGTCAGTATCAACATGCTTAACATTATTAGATCTTCCCCAATTCCATTTAACGGAAAACCCTGAGCACCAAAGTATTATTCATTCTGATCTACCGGCATGGTGACTTCCTACCTTTTTGAAGCTGTCATCTGCATCGTATTCACAGTAAATAAACAACAGCCCTTGTGTGACCTCGGTAAAAATAATGATCAAAAAACAATTTCTTGTTTTCATTCTTAGGTTGAAGCCCCCTTCTTGCCAAAGTGCAGAGGACCAGGCGACACCAGCAACTTTGACGACTACGAAGAGGAGGACATTCGTGTCTCGCAAACAGAAAAGTGTGCAAAAGAGTTTGCTGAGTTCTAGTGAGTGGGCAGGAGTCCCATCAGGGCTCCCGTGCTTCGGGATATTTGCACTCTCCTGAGGGTTAAGGTGGAACTGAGGCCGTCACGTGTTCAAAACAAATGCCTCGTTCCTTCATTCCACACAGCTGAATGAGGTCCTTCTTGCCATGATCCTGCGTGCAGTTAGCACTAACCTATACACAGGCACATTATGCAGACACCTCTCGTGCTGCGACACATACAGTAAATACTAGACCACGTGCTCATCTTCTGTCTTTTTGCTTTCCTCTTTTTACGTTTGGTACTTTTGAATAGCCTCCGTCCTTAATGATTCAATTCAAATAATTAATTCAAAAGCAACATAAAAATCAAAATAATTGAATGCCCTTTTTCAAATGGCACAAAGAGTGATTGATTGATTGATTGATTGATTGATTGATTGATTGATTGATTGATTGATTGTATTAGCTGGTATTGCACATATTGTGATTTAAGCTTTGGGAAAATAGAAGGATTTTTTAATTTATTTCTAAAATAGATGTTTGCCTGTTATCTGTTACAGTACATACCTGAGTGTGATTCAGGGTTCTGTTTGTGATTAATCACGGACACTTCAACACATAATAATATTCATCATTCTGGTGTCCTTAAGACCTAGATCCTTGTATTTGTGCATCTAGAAAGATACATATATGAGACATAAGATTTTCAAAGACTTTGTGTTGTTAAAGCATGACCACATTTCCAACAAAGAAACTAGTGTTTATTGAAGAAACAGTATCACTGATGCTGGCTTCTTGACGTTTCAGCACTCGGGCATTGAATCCTTGAAGAGATGGATTAAGAGTGACAGGTGTTATTATGGAGCAGAAACGTGTCGGCGCTGATTTAACTCAATTATAGGTTTTCTTTATCCGTATCTGGTTTCATCTTAGATAGAGTGGTATTATATGAAAGAAACAGAATGATATATTTTTCAGGTACAACTTTGTTTCACGAGAGAGTAAAACCGAAGGGATTTGAGTAGTTACTCCACACAACAGGTCACCTGTCCTTTATACGGCCAGAACTGTATGAAGTGCATGGACATGGCGTCTTTAAATAGCTGAAATGTAAAACATTTTCTTGAGAGTATGTTGTAGTAAATGCAAATAAGTGTTGGTCCCAAATGTCCATTCTGGGTTGCTTTTCAATTTAGTTTTAAAATGTTGCTTTGAAATAGCACTCAAAAGACATTATGTTACTGCCATATTTGTTTTAATTGTATTTTTACGTTTGCATGTTATGTTTGTACAGCAGTGTCACAACAAGCGTATAGTGCCCTGAAAGATTTCCCATCTTTTTGTTGTTATTTTCTTGTGTTTTGTTACCTTTTTAAATTGTGTCATGGCCTGTGACATTGGAGCATAGGCAATGTTTATCTGAGTGACATATTCCCCAGCATAATCCCACTAGAGCAAATCTATACCATTAACCATGAAATGTTAACAGAAAACTGAAATATCATAACCTATATAAGTATTCATTCATCTTGGGCATCACTTCGTTGGAACATATACTTACCTCAACTATAGCTTGTAGTCTCTTTGCATCATGTTTAACCAATTTGTACACTGTGATGGAGCAATATTTGCTCATTCTTCCTTGCAACATTGCTCAGGCTGGGTCAGGTCAGTAAGAGAACGTTAACATACAAAGAAATGTGGAATAAGGTCCAGAGTCTGGCTTTTGAAGAACATTTTAACTTTTCATTGTAAATCACTCCTTTTTAAGTTGTTGTCTAAACATATTTAATACATATTTCCCCCCTTTAAGACAAATCTAGGTTGTATGAGGGATTTGTCTATATGAGCACCATTCATCATTTCCCATGAGTTCTGACACATTGCTCCTTCCTTGCTGCTGGAATGTATTTCATTTTCTGCAAACTCCTCACTGCGTGACAGGTTGACTTTGTGTTTTTAACTGGTTATCATACAATCTGTTTGTGAAAGGTTCAATACCTACAAAGCCAAGGTGTCCACTTGTTAAACTTCCAGATGTCAGAAAAGTCCTTAGTGCTCCTGCGATCCTCTGATTCTTTAGAGGGGTTCTCTGCCGTCCTCGGGGGGTCCGATGTTGAGGTCATTCCTGCAGGTCGGGCACTCAGGGTTGAAGGGGAAATCAAAGTTTTTCATTTCACATCTTGTTGCAAACAATAATGCATCATTGACAGTCTTTCAATTTAACATCTCTTAAGTCTTCTGAAACTTTGATCATTATTTGACATGGTGCTCAAGTGTATGTAGATGAACAATGCAATTTAATCTAGTTCAACAATCTTTGACAACCAAATGTGAAAAGGTTTGGTGACCGAATCCTTTTTTTTAAGGTACTGATGTATATTGATATTGACTATGCCTGAACTTTTATTCATATATTGAGCACATGATGTGATTTTTTATTTAGCCCTGATTTCATTTTAAAGGCACAATTGTTTATTATGCTATTTTATATTTAAATTAGAGATGTATTCTAAAACATATTTTTAATTATTTAAACTCCCAAAGTTCTCAGAATATATAAGAACTTCAACTGTTGTATTCAGAAAAGTGCTATGAACAGTTAATATAATAGATTATTTATTTGTACCATGCTTTTTTATTTGCCCTTATTCAAAATAAAATGAAAATATTTAACACAGTAAATATACATTGATGCCAATCAAGCCTATATAAAATTGTAGCCTATTAGTTTAATTTATTTTATTATTTGTCTTTATTTGACTTGAAATTACCTTTTATTAAAGGGTGTCCAACATTATTTTCCAAGTTTGAAGGATGAACAGAATGTAATTGCAGGATTTGTGAAATTTTTTATCTGGAAAAACTTTGAAAACTGGCAATTCAGCATGTTTCAATCCAAACTGCCTGTGTATAAATCCTCCCATAAAACATATGTAGGAAATCCACAGCTCTTCTTATGTGTCATTTATATCCCATGTGTGTAATAATGTTTGTCATATTTGATGTAAATGATGGCATTTTTCCCTGAACCACTTCACACTCCTGACTGAAGGAAATCAGTTAATGACTTCTTTGTAGCTAGTCACACATGCCAGTATGGGATCAATAATCTGAAATGTGTCTGTATTTAGTTTGTGGGATATTGTGCACATCATTTAAAAGGCTGACACGGTTTTGCCCACCTATATTTACTTGTGTTTGCAAGGGGGATATACTTTGCTGTAGCAGATTTTATGTAACAAAAGATATGTCACTATAATAAATTCTTTTTATGAAAAAAAACTGTAGTTTGTCATCAATGTGCTGAGAAATGTTGCTTTTTGTGCAATGCTGGAAAGTAGCTAAGTACATTTACTCAAGTTCTGTACTTAAATACACATGTGAGGCACTCGTGTAGTTTACCCGAGTATTTTCATTTTATAGTCATTTAAACTTCTACTCCACTATATTTTGCAAGCAAATGTTGTACTTTTGACTCCATTACATTTACTAGTTACTTTATAAATTCAGATTTTAACACACAATATTTAGGAAAATACTTAAAAAAGATCATTATTTGGTATAGATGAAACCATCCAACCTTATACTTAAGTAACTAAAACCATGAGTGGCTTAACAGAAAATGTATTTGCACCATTTTGTTTATGTTGCTGACACAAGATATTCGCTGCTTTTACTTTAAAATAATTTTATATTTTTAGAGTTGTTGTTGAGAGTCCTTTTACTCATAATACTGTAAGTACATTTTCCTCGTCGTACTTGAATACTTGTACTTGATGCAGTACTTTTACTTCAAATTGAGTATTTTTACAGTGTGGTATTGGTATTTTTTCAAGAACAGAATATGAATACTTTTCCCCCCAGTGTTTATGTGTAGTAAGCATAGACTGTACATTGTAGTAAGTCAGCAGGAGTTTGATCAGGCTCAAATACAAACGCTGGCGTTGAAACAAAAAAGAACTTCACTTCCCATGATTCTCTGCTGTCGTGGGCGAAGGAAGCTGAACCAATGAAGAGGGGCTAGTTTCCTTTAGTTGATTACATCTAGATTTTATCAAATGAATATCGCCGTTTATTTATTTGTAAAATATCCCCGTGAATAGAAAACGTGTGTGTCCTCCTGAGAACGTGTCTTGCTCGGACGCAGTGTTTTTGTCAAACAGGAATCATCCTAAATAAGGTAACTGTTCTGTGTTGTATTAGCAAACCCAGCTAACTATAACTGTTAGCTTAATACGAAATACGAAGAGGCAGCGATTAAATAATATCGTCTTTTATCCTGACGTTTTTTGTATACTGTGCCTCAACTCTGACAACTGAATAGGCTTTTCTGCTTGATTTATATACGTGTCAATTAAGGCAATTATATGTTATATGTAACGTTATTTTTATTGCAGCTAATCGTGAGCTTTTTCTTATTTTCCAAGCACTGCATCCCTCCCTAATGTCAGTCATCGACACAGTGCTAGCTTTGTTTTGGTCTCGTGCCGTGTGTTTTTTTTTAACAACTGTTTTATTTTAATTGTATTGCAGAGAAGAGACCTAGTGAATGGCAGACTGCGAAAGAGAAACAAAGATGGTGTTTGAGCTGCCAATCCACTAAACTCTGCGAGAGAAGACATCTGATGAGAAATTACTGCAACCTAACAGATTGTAAGAGATTGATGCATTATGCATTAGGGCTTTAACTTAAAACCACAACACGTTTCCTTAATCCCCAGCAGTGTCACCTAATGGTTTCTGTTTGAGAGTAACAACAGCTTGTATTGAAATAAGATGTATACATTGATTGATACCTTACCTCCTCCTACGCTTTGGTATCTTAATCAAGCATTACCGTTTAAATGAGCCTCCATCTAAAAATGTAGATTCATCAATAGACATTTTGTTTTGTATTTGTGTTGTATTGCCTGTTTTGTAGGGTTGTTACTATTGATTGACAATTATTTAATCCCTGTTTAATGTTATAATTATTTTTTCTTAATAGTTGGAAATTATTGAAAATTGCCTATGGTGAATTGTTTTGTCTCAGGGTTGTAACCAAATTCAATTTACGAAAAAAATATTAGTTTGATCCTAAATCTAGTTTATTCTACAGCTTTCAATTGCTCTTCGCTATCTTTGATTTTAGATTATTTTTATTAAAAAATGTTTGACTTTGCATTGCAGTGTGTACATATTATAATGCATCTTTTGATTTGATGATTGCTATTGTTTTTATATCTTCTCCATTTTTGTTGACAGCCGGCATGGAAGACAAGGCAAATGGCACTGTTGACACAAAAAGGTATAATTTTCAATAAGTATAATAAATAGTTTATTGTTTTTGAGTATTTGGAGGAACTGTTACAGTTGAAAATGCTTGCACACTAATATGAATACCTTCACTGTGACCTCACAGCCCAGTGGAGAATGGACAGCTGCCGGACCCTGCAAACTGGGGGGTCGCCGACGTTGTCAACTACTTCAAAGCAACAGGGTTCGAGGAGCAAGCGACGGCTTTCCAAGATCAGGTTGGGTGGCTCTTCCTGCTCAAAATTCTCATCACATGATTAAAGCAAACTAGGATGTCAGTCAAAAATGTCTCTCTCCGCCTGACAGGAAATCGATGGCAAGTCTCTGCTGCTGATGACCCGAAACGACGTCCTGACGGGGCTGTCGATAAAGCTAGGCCCTGCACTGAAAATCTATGAGTATCATGTGAAGCAGCTGCAAACCCAACACCTGAAGAGCAATGCCTCTTAGCACCCCCCCCCCACCCCCTCCCTAAAAGCTCAGTGACAATCATCGCGTCAAGAGACCCCAGGTTAGCTGCCACTTAACTCCTCTGGCCACAGTGGCACCTTAACAGAATTTGAATGCTGTATGTTTTATAAGCTCAGAGCCCAAAAAACTGGTTTTCTCAGCTGTTTACCCTTTCAGCCATTCTTATTTCGGCTTGAGATTTGTATTTTATATTTTGTGTGTTTAATTTTAAAGAAAGAAATGTGGGTTGCAATTGTTTGCCGACATGATTTCTCTGTGTGTGTGTGTGTGTGTGTGTGTGTGTGTGTGTGTGTGTGTGTGTGTGTGTGTGTGTGTGTGTGTGTGTGTGTGTGTGTGTGTGTGTGTGTGTGTGTGTGTGTGTGTGTGTGTGTGTGTGTGTGTGTGTGTGTGTGTGTGTGTGTGTGTGTGTGTGTGTGTGTGTGTGTGTGTGTGTGTGTGTGTGTGTGTGTGTGTACACTACCAGTTAAAAGTTTGGACACACCTTCAAATACATGTATGCAGTTTTTTATTTATTCTAATTTGTTCTACTTTTAGATTAATACTGAAGACATCAAAACTATGAAAGAACACATATGGAATTATCTAGTTAACAAAAAAGTGTTAAAAATCCAGAATATGATTTGTATTTGATATTCTTCAAAGTAGCCCCCTTTTGCCTTGATGACAGCTTTGCACACTCTTGGTTTCTCTCAGTCAGCTTCATGAGGTAGACACCTGGAATGGTTTTCAATTAACACGTGTGCCTTGTCAAGAGTCAATTTGTGGAATTACTTGCCTTCTTAATGTGTTTGAGTGTGTGGAGAGCACAATGGAGAGCCATATTTGACTACTGTTGTAATCCATATTATGGCAAGAACGACTTAACTCGGTAAAGAGAAACGACCGTCCATCATCACTTAATAAATGAAAGCCAGTCGATCCGGAAAATGTCAAGAACTTTGAATTTATCCTCAAGTGCAGTCGCAAAAACCATCGAACGCTATGATGAAACTGGCTCTCATGAGGACCCCCCCAGGAAATGAAGATCAAGAGTTACCTCTGCTGCAGAGGATAAATACACAAGAGTTACCAGCCTCAGAAACCGCACATTAAAGCACCTCAGATTAGAGCCCACATAAATGATCACAGAGCTCAAGTAGCAGACAATCTCAACATCCACTGTTCAGAGGAGACTGCGTGAATCAGGCCTTGTCCAATTGCCTGGTCCAATTGCTGCAAATATCCACTACTGAGGATGAAGAACAAGAAGAAGAGAATTGTTTGGGCCAAGAAACACAAGGACTGGACTAGAAAGTGGAAATCTGTACTTTGGTCTGATGGGTCCAAATTTTCGATTTTTGGTTCCAACCTCCGTGTCATTGTGAGACGCAGAGAAGTTGAGCGGATGGTTTCTGCATGTGTGGTTCCACCGTGAAGCATGGAGGAGGAAGTGTGATGGTGTGGGGGGGCTTTGCTGGTGACACGGTTGGTGATTTATTCAGAATTCAAGGCACACTTAACCAGCATGGCTAACACAGCATTCTGCAGTAGCCAGCAAAATATCAATCATATTCTGGATTTTTTTTTAACACTTTTTTGTTAACTAGATAATTCCTTTTATAGTTGTGATGTCAACTTTTGACTGGTACTGTATGTGCAAAGTGAGGTTTATACGGCGGTTTATAAAAACAAGTATTTGTATATAAGATGATATATAGTTGAAAACTGTGTATGTTGTCGTACCCGAACCCTTTGATACTTGCAGAAAATGATTCTGGAATATCCGTGTTGCCCTAAATCACTTTTTATGCTCTAATCTCTGCAGTCACTAAAACGTCCTTAGCATGTAACAGTGAAAACATTTTTTCCCCAGAAACAAGTTTATTAAAGGCCCTGTTACTGCAAACCTAAATATCTAGGCTCGAGGCTGTTTATAAAAAAAAAATGTAAGTGTTTATAGAATTTGTATGTTCCCACCTGTGGTGCTTTCAGTATTGTCAAATAGACAGCTGTTTAAATTGTGTATGACCAATGAATATGTGTAACATAACACTGGAGATTGACCATCTGAATCAAAGATTTGCAATAAATGGTGCTCTTTTCTCACAAAAGAACAATATTAGTAAAGTCATTTATGTCATAATATTTACTTACAGATAAAGCCAGAATCATGTTCGGATATCTTGAGTTGTAGTTAATATTGTGTTGTCAGAACTTTACTATTATTTGATCAAGTAGCTTATTTAGATTGATATGTAGATCAGAGCAGTAGCATTTCCTGGTTTATAGGTGCCTTCACAGCTTGGCTTTCTGTTTCCTACGGACCGTCCCTGTGATGCTGCCTGAAGGGTTATCCAAGGCAAGAAGAACCTGTGAGGGAAAAGTATTACAGTAAGCAATAGTAAATAATAAAAAAACTAGGAAACAACTCAGCGTATAAAACATATTTTTTTATAACAGAGCTTACTTCATCTTTGTTGTTGATCCCCATTTTCGTCATGTCTATGGTGATGTAATGCTGGTTGGGCATGACCATCTCTATTTCATCAACCTAAAAGACAGAACACTTACAGCATGAGTTTGTCTGAATGAGCTTGTTGGGCATGTGGCATCAACATTGTTTTATTGGATGTTAAACAAATCTACAAATGTAAGTGCTTAAACTATGCATTCCTTTATCTGTTGTAGATGCATGATACAGAATGTGTACCATACAGTCACTGATGGTGTGTGCAAAAGTAATCAGGCATGTTTAACCCACTTATTGGAGTTATTGTTTTATGCACCACCTGTGTCGAGAAACTCTGGTCGCAATTACTGTTAAATTCCTGCTTTCTTCTTTTGTTATTTCTTAAACAGATTATACCTAGGGGTTTGATATTAATCCTGTAATTGAGTATGTGTACTTACCTCAGGAATTCGATCCAGGACCAGAACTTGTGTTTCATAAAGGGTCTTCTGCACAGAGGGGGAGAACTCTCCAAGATCATAAGGACCAGCAAACTTCTCAATGATCGTCTCCTTCACACACTTCCTATGAGGACAGCGATGTGAGTCATTAGATTAGGAGATTATTATTCATTCACTTTTAGTATTTCTTATTTTCCTTCTATTTTGTGTTCAGATCTCATAACATGTGTTTTCTTCTTATTTGACAGACAAAGTTACAGACAACTAAGATGTGAATTGTAAGCCTAATTGTGTCCTACGCAACTCTCTTCACAGATAATTACCATGCAGCATCGAAGTCGACATCCTGACTCTTGCTGTAGCGCCACCTAGCCATGACAGAGGTGCAGAAACACCTGTCCTTGGTCTCTTGCAATGTAGTGAAGCGGTCTTTGTGGAAACCCTCAAAGCCAGACTGGGTGGTTTTCAGCAGCGTCATGTTCTTCACCCCGCTGTGTACCACCGGGATGCCTGCGCACAGAGTCAGTGAGTATGCAGTTATCATAAACATCAGGTAACATTTGGATATGACTGAAGCCCGTCATCAGCATCAGTGATATGCAGCAATGCCAAGCTTATAAAACTCATCCGTTTATAATAATTACAAAACATCTAAACCAAATAGACTTTAGTTCAAACTGGACACAGATGAGGCCATGGCATCCAATTACTCCAAATAATTTTTCACATGTACTTCTTAGCTAGTAAAATCATTGAGGGTGCGACAAGATAACACCGTCTGATCCCAGCCCAGGCAAGTACAAAGATGGTTTATCTTTAGAAGTTTAAACTCAGTCACATGAGATTTATAAAGCCCCTCACAAAAAACTAGGAAATGCATTTTTTAACTATATAAGGTGAAGTGGGTGTTGTGCTTACCATTGAGATTCTGTTCAGCATCACAGAAGCGACAAGCTTCAGGGCTAAAGATGAATGCATGAGCATGCTCTACCCCATTCTGAGAAACCATACAACAACGGCAAACGTGGTGAAAATCATGTTCAAATTATTTAAGGTGTTCTTCATTCATGGTGTTACTTTAAAAAATAGAAATGATGGAAACACATGGCAATATGTCATGCCCAAAAAGCATGTCTGAAACTGATTATAATAACCACGGATTAACAATTATTTCCCATCATCCATCAGTGATGCTTGGTGTGCTCTGAGGTTACAAATACTTGTTCTTTAGTTTCATTGGTTCTAGGGCTGTCACGATACCAACATTTTGGTTTCGATACCGATACCAAGTCAAGAATTGCGATTCCGATTCTTTTTCGATACTTTTCTTAAAAAAAGGGAAACAGTCTTAAATGTAATTATTGTGCTTTATTTCACACCAGAACATAACACACACTTTTAAACAATAAGAACAATAAACAAAATAAATGACAATAATTCATATTAAATCAAATTAAGCATCATCTCAAACAACTTTTTTGTTTTATAATTTTTTTTTTTTTAAATATTTTATTAACATGTGTACAGTAATATAAATAATTATTGACAAAATGTATATTGCAGATGTTAGCCACATTGGTAAGTTAGCTAAAAAGATAGCCATATTAGACAGTTATCATTGCCATTAATTGCCTCGTCAAACTACGAAAACGTTCGTTTGTCAAAAAATAAATTACACTTATTTGACTTAGATTTGAGGGCATGGGCTTGAGCATGATGTAATTATGTTATCTATCACAGGGGTTATCAACCCCCGGTCCGCGGACCGGTACCGGGCCGCGGAGGTGTTACTGCCGGGCCGCGAAATAGCTGTGAGTTTATCGTAATATTTGCAGAATTATAAATATATAAAAATATTTTATCATAATATTTTTTTTTAAAAGTGTTTAATGTTCGCACCTATAGGCTACCAGTCATATTATTTCATCTAGTAGCCTAGTTAATCTTTCACCAGATAACCGTTGAAAATGGCTTTTATGATATTCCGAGGGATTCGGCGGCTCAGCCTGGGCCCTTTCTCATTTCATCAAATCCCCCTCCTCGACTCCTCGACTCCTCGGTCCTCCGGTAGTGAACCGGAAATGAATTTCAGTGTGCCATGTTGAAGGACATCTAATTTCTCTAAATGCACTTCGAGGACCGAGGATCGAGCATCGAGGAGGCTCTCTGGAGGAGCTATAACCGAGGATACACTGATGGGTCCTCCACGGCTCCTTCGTGGATGCATTTCCGGGAACAGAGATGTTTCAAAGAGTCGTGACGCACGGCCGGACTTATCTCAGCCAATGACAGCTCTGCATGCATCCCCTGGATATTATTTTATTAACTGCTCTCATCGCGACGCGATGTTTACAGTGAGAACAGCTGTGAGGTCCGTGCAGAAAGCAGAGCAGTGTGTAAAATATATCACTCAGTATAACAGGCCTACTCTTTTTATTTGCTTTAGTTTAGTAGATATCTACAAACAAAGAGTCCA